TGTTTATCTTCCTTCGTCACATAGATAGATAAAAGGGAACATGGTGTAAGAGAACAAAAAGATTATTTTCCCCATGTTTGTCTGTAATATAGGAAGTTTAGGAAGTAAACCAAACATCGCTTGTGTGTGTAACTTCCTAATAAGTATTTTCTCCGTAAGGTCATACACTTCCATGGCTGTAGGCGTTTGACGCTACTGACGGTACTGTCGGCTCCTTAGGGTTTCCTGTGTTTTGCCTCTGTGATGGTACCATACAACTTCCTTGCTTGTGAAATGCACCTGGGTTGTGTTTTCGTTACACTCGTAACCTCAACAAGCTGTAGATGAAAATGATGTCATATCCCCGGAGGATCTTTTATTAGTTAACTTTATTATAGCTTGATTACAAAGAGGTTGTAATTGTTGTTTTGGTTTTGTAAAGATTGTGATGATGGATTAATCTCCCTATAGTCCTGGGAAATACAGTCATCAGAGATAATTTCTTGTGTTATCTTTAAAAGTGCTTATATAAAAGTTAAAACTCATATTACACAGCTTTAGGTTAAAACTGTAAATTTGTAACATAATTTTAAAGTTCTGGACAAGTCATCAGCTTATACTTATTAAATACAACTCAGATATTAATGGGACCTTTGCTCTTCTTTTGTCTTACACTTCCTACCTTTGCGTGTTCTCAGATATCTCACAAAGATGCAGTTCTTTAAAAGATCATATTTTGGCATTGTCAGTTTACTTTGTGATTTTATGTCTAAGGCACTAAAGCTGTGGATGTACACTTACTGGTCTCTTTGTTAGGTACACCTTGCTAATACTGGGTTGGATCTGCTTTTGGTTTTTGCTTTATTTCTTCACTGCACAGAAAAACAGCAAGATGCTAGAAACATTGCTCAGAGATTTTGGTCCATGTTGACATGATAGCATCACATAATTGACCACATTTATCAGCTGCACATTCATGTTGTGAATCTTGCGTTTCGCTACATCCCAAAGGTCCTCTATTGGGTTGAGATCAGGTGAAAGTGTTGGCCATTTGAGCACAGTGAACTCATTTTGTTCAGGAAACCAGTTTTAGCTTTGTAACATGGCACATTACACGGAATCACTGACTTCTTATCAATTCACATCCCTACTCAGAGAATTTCCACATTCTGCGACCCTTCTCTGTAAACCCTCTTCTGGGACCAACAATAGTGCCACTTCATCATCTTTCTTCCCCACTCTGTTGCTCAGTTTAAACAGATGTACCTATCAAAGTTGCTGGTATATCATCCCTATCGTTTTCCTAGTTTATTATAGGTTAAACAACTCTCTAACATGCTCAAGAAATATTATGTAAACCTCACTAATGTTCATGTAAATTATTCTGTTGCAGCAAGTAATAACCTGGCTGTTTTATTGTTGTTGGCTCTCAGTGGATCCAGTTGATCTCTCCGTGATTGTCTGAACTGCTTCATTTTAACTTTGTGCTGAATAGTTGCCATCAAGGAGATCTAGTCATACTGAGAAGAATTTCCTTCATTTGTGCTGCAAGTGTTTGTGCTCTGCCGCTTTGCTGGTTCACACCAGCTCTTTGTCAGAGGCTAATTCATTCTCATTGCCCTTTTCTTGTGCCAGAACATGACCACTGCATAAGATAGAGTTTCTTTAAGGCTACTTTCAGAGTATCTGCACATACTTTCAGTTGTTTGACTTGGCTTGAAAGAATTTAAAATGAGCTTGTTTCATCAACTTTTTCCCCCCAGTCATTTAATGTCTATAAAATAAATTGCAATATCAAAATAGTGACACAACTACTGACTGCCTTCCCAAGGGGCCTTCTTGGTGATAATGTGTTTTTTGACCATCATGGGGTCAGCTTGTGGACTGTTTTGGCTCTACTGTTCTCAGCAGACCTTAACCCCTGACTTCCAGCTTGGTGGGGGCTGACATCAGTGTGTGGCAGGAAAGGTCTGGTGGTCCTGTTTGTGGTTAGGTGTTTGTGCTGCTGATATTTTTCTGTATTAGTGCCAGGCATGTGGTTAAATAGACCACATCCACCAGGCTGTACATTTACTGTTGTTACAGTAGTCAGCGTCTCTGAAAGTGTTTTTCATCTTTCCATGGCCTTGATGTTTTTGCATCAATGCTACAAAACATTCAGCTGGTTTGTAAAAAAAAGTGCATTGCCACTGAAAGAAAAACTCTTTTACTTGTTCAGTGCTGCATCATTCAACAAAAATCTAATTACAATATTTACACACAAAAGAGATATAATACGCAGTTTCAGTTTCCTGGTCTCTTTGTGTAGCTGCTGCTTGGCTACTTTAAAGTGAAGATTGTTGTTCACAGATTTCTCTCTTTCTCTCTGATTTGTGTCCCTATTAAACACAAGCCAAGAAACAAATGAATCCAAATATTCATTTTTAATCAAAATGCTGTATCTACTCCACTTATGCTTGATTGCCAAAAATGTGATGGCTGTTCCTGTAACACTAAGGATTATAAGTAGCCAAGAAAAATACAAGAGGTGTGAAACCAATGAACACAGACATTTCAAACATTTGCTGGCAGTGTGTGGTTGTCATTTATGTGAACACAGATTTGTTCATTCTTGTAAGCTTTGTGGGTTCATGTTTCTTGCAGGCACTGAGAACACTCGTCATGACAAGCATGCCTACTGAGTAAGTAGGCATGTGCTTCTTTGAATACCACCAGCTTCATATTCTTTAATTTTATTGTGTTAATTAACAAGTTGGTAAAAGAAGGCATCTAATTCTTATTATTCGTCTCTTGTAGGAAGCAGAACACAGTGGTTCAAGTGGTGAAAGCACTCGGTGGTTTTTTAATTGTTGACCGTGTTTGTGAAAGCACAACTCATGTGGTGTCTGGGGAACACAGGCGGACTCTCAATATTTTGCTGGGTATAGCTCGTGGCTGCTGGATCCTCTCATTTGAATGGGTACGTGGACATTTGAAATTATTTCAAAGTTAAGATGCAGGGTGATTCTGTCTTATCTCTAATCTTTTGAGTAGATACTCTGGTCTTTGGAGCAAAGGCAGTGGATTCCAGAGGAGCCGTATGAACTTTCAGATCAATTTCCTGCAGCACAGGTAAGTTCAGAACTACTCAAACAGTACTAGTAAAAGGGTCTTTGACAGATTTACTACCAGCATTGAGTTTACAGGAAAGCTTTTTATTTTTTCCAGTAGGGTAAAAAAAGCTGTATCGTCTTATCTTCGCATCGTTATTGGTTTAACTAGTTCAAAATCCTCTTGAGATTAAAGCTTTTTTCAGATATGACTCAACAGTATTAAATAATCTCTTCTCCAATTTATTACTCTCCAAATGCAATAAAAGATATTTTTTTATTTTTCCAGGACATATATTTTAGAGATTTTAGTGACACCTTAAACATAATCTAGAAAGCATTCCACTCATGCTTTAAGTCTCATTACTGCCAGTCATCCATTTACAGTAGGCTTGTTTTTCCTAAAGCATCCTGTGTGAATTGTGGATGTTGCCTCTTCCTGCACTTGCCATTCATGAATCACTGTCCTGTCCTGCCCTGCAAGGAAAGACTTGGGGTCTTAATGTAGACGAATGTCAGCATGTTTCCTCTTAAAATTGCCTGATGGCTTTTGTTGTGACAGATCAAATATTTTATATCCCCATGGCCTTTTATCATTTGGCACACCACATGCTTCCCTTTTTCATTCAATTCTTGTGGCCTCTATTGTGTGGTGTGGTGTTCCTTCAGCTGTGGCCAGTTAATCATAGAAACAGATTTTAATAGTATTGTCTTTTGTTTTTTTTATTCTGTCAGATAATTTGTGATAAAAATTTGGTTCTCTTTTGTTATTTTTGATTTATTTTATTCCAAAAGCATGTAGCCAGGTGCCATTTTTATACCAATTCAAATCTTTGTAGCCGTGATGGATCTACTCTTAACTATCCCTCTACAGTCTCTGCATTAGGCCAGCAATAAAGTGGTGTAAAGCAAATGATCAAGACTACTCTTTACTAGAATAAGAGGAGGTCTGCATCAGTCTAATATCTCTTGAAATATCGTTACAAACTGAATCAGTTTATCTATCCATAATGCAGCACGTGAAAACTAGGCTTAAGTCACTTTTTTATATTTCTTACAGTTTGAAAAATTCTAGACAAACATCCAAAAATGGATTTAAATCGTTTTTTGGTTTATTTTTGTATGAAATTTTACAACGGCAAACACTGGAAAATCTACTCTGTTCTCGATTGCGTCATTTCCCTGATGTTTTTATACATTACTTATTACATTACTCAACTGTCGTCTTGCAGTCAAGTTTGTTGCTCTACATCTTTCAATGGCTGTTCTCATTCTAGATTACCATCAGTAGCTAAACATGCATTGGTCCTTTGAGGCTTTAAATCCGAAATGTGCAGCTGAATCTAATAATGGCAACAATAAAATCACAAGTTTGTAGCATGTAGAATTTATTGTGTATTGTGGAAAAGATAAAATGACAGAAAGATTTGAAAGATCTTAAACAACACTTTAGCTGTATGGCAGGTCAGCATCCACAAGGCTGTTTATTCTTTGTCACATGACTTATGCTTAACTATTATGTCACCCACTACAATGCAGAATCAACCTCTCTGCCTTGTGGTTGATTTTTAACATTCAATATCAGGTTTATAACAGCTACTCAAGCATTACATGTCCTAGTCTCCTAAAGCCAGTGTTAACTGGTGTCCAATTTTTCTTTGTTGTAGTTTGTAGCTTCAAAAGAACCATTACATAAAAATGCAGATTAAAAAACATTCCCAGTACTGTAGAATTATATTAAAATTATTAATTTCCCTTCATGTGCAATAAAATTAATAACTAGCTATAAGAAATCTCCTTTCTTATATGATAAAGTTTAAAACCAACCTTAAAATCTACTTATAAATTAAACAACAAATGTACATATAATCTCTATAGCAAAACATTGTTATCATAAGAGAAACAATTTGTGGTATTTTTACATTAACATTTACATTTTGAAAAATGTTGACAATGCAAAAAAATAACTTTCACCAGATGTTTATCAGCATTTTGTACCATCGTCTCTATTATACAATGACATTGGCAGCTGTTTTTAAAAAATAGTTCAACTGTTAAAGTGATTCAAAGAAATTAAATGAATCTGATAAGCTAGCTGAATAGAGCCTGACCGATATTTTAATATATTTTAATATAACTCATTTTAATTACTATTCAAATAACTGTAAATACTACAGCTATGTGTATTGCTGTGACTCTCCATATTTCAAAATCTACCACAGAAAGATGCACAAAGGTGTATAAAAATACACGCACAAAGTGTTTTGGATCCCTTGAGAATTTTTATTTTTGGTCTTGTTGTTCCCATTTTCTTTAATCTGACTGTTCAAAGGGAACCCGAGAAGTCTGCTGGCCGGATCATCATTGTAGTGGTCTTCAGTGAGTAGCCTGAGCCTTTCCAGTAGTACCATTTGATTCCATTGAAGCGATTGGCGTTTTGGCCCTTTTGGTAATACATCCCATTCAAGTTGGACGGACCACAGGCATCAAACCACCAGCCTACAATAGAAAAACATTATTAATTTAACTGTTGTGTACTTTTTTTAGAGGTGGTAAGTTTGTGTTTAGACACATTACAACTAATCTGCTTGTTTAGATCCATTATACAAAACAACAGATTGTAAGGACAGTTATGTCTAATGTAGGCTCGAGCTGCCTACATTGGGGGTGGGGGGTCATTAATGTACCCTGTAAAGTAGTATTGCTTGAGGAAATTTGTCAGATTTCTCAGAAGCCAGTCCGGAGGAGCAAATGGCCTTGTGAAACTAGCGTAGTGCCCATTTGGGGAAAAGTGTAAGCAGGTTATTTTTCTAGCTAAAGTTCATAGATTTCCTCTAAACCTGTGGCATGCAGGCAGTCATAAAGTTACTGTTTTAAGAAGAGGGCAGCTATATAAGGATACGGTCAGTCAAATCAAATGTGTGTCTGACTGCGTGTTTAAAAAGTGACTGTCCGGAAAAGGTAGATGCCAGGTTTCTCAAGAACTGCTCATCCATTTGGGAAACCAGAGAGAAACAAAAAACAAAACAAAACCCCCAGAATTAAGTAAAGAAAGCGGACCCAATGTCTTTATGGAAACCACTTCGGGTTTTTAGAGTGATTACTTTTTGTAGAAGTTAGAACATTTTGGCCGGGCCTCATTTTTAAATTTTAAACCCATTTTAAAGTTAAGGTTTTTTGTGTTTATGGCGCTCCTCACCCACTCATCTGAAAATCCTTGAACTACACACAGCACTTACTCTCATACTCAGCAGCACACATACAGAAGAACTTTCAGACAGATTATTAATGGGGGTTTTTTTAACCCTCGGCCTGACAGACGATCCATTTTATGCTATTTAAGTAACCATACGTCCATTATCATTTGTGATAGAGTCAAAATTCACATGGTTTCAGAATGAAGTGAAGACGTGCTTTTGGGATATTTGGTGTATCAAGGTAGCACAAAGCATTCACAAGGTACTGCTGTCTGAGCACCGGCAGAAAAATAAGCTCCACCTAGGTTTTACCATGTGTGCTTCACATTAGCAAAACTCCTCCACTATTTCTGCACTAGAGAGAAAATTTATATGGTTCCTGAAAGATAAGAAGTATTTTGTAATTTACAAAATACAGCCAAAATTACAAAATAAGACCTGACAGGCTGTAGAATACTTGGCTGATAAAGGGTTAAAAAACTTGTTATTTTTGTGTGTTGTTTTGAAAGGCATTATAGTGAGAAGTGCATTTAGCCCCGTTTAGATCCAGATTTATTGCATTCATTAGCATTTTTGTTTATTTCAATTTCATGCTTGTAATGACAGATCCCACTTTTCTCTTTTTGCTGGACCAGTGCCCCTCTGTTACAATTGTGTATAATGTGCTCAAAGGAGTCCCCTGTGAGAGACCCCTCATGGGAAAAAAAGGATAGGGTAAGGGTTTGTGTGTTTTCATGTTCACTTGGCAAACCCCAGTACTGAAGGAGGCAAACTTCTGGCAGCTGAGTTACTTTACGGGGAATGGACGAGGACCTTTAAGCCATCAGTAGAGAGAGGGAAAAGCTCTGTTCCCAGGCTATTAATGTGAGCCATTGTAGAGACTGAATTCCCCGATGAGTTGATCAGTGATTAAGTCTGAGCTAATTGTGCTCTTTGACACGACTACAAAAGGATGGCTGCCCTTAAATTGGCCTTAAAGATTTTTGGGGCAAGTGCCAAGATTTTGTATGGATGGGAATTTGTTCCAGAAAATGTCCATTACTGATTGACACATTTTTATTTTTTAATTTTCCAAGCTAAGGCATGATATTTACAGTAGTGTGCTCCTACCTCCTGTTGTCAGTTGTGAACATTTGCAAACACATTTGTCATGGTCTGCATCCTTTGTACTGAATTCACTTCCTGGCTGCCCAATGCTGCTTATTTTGCCTGCCGTTCCGCTGTAGCCTTTAAGGTGTATCCTGTAAAATGGAAAAGGGAAAATGAAGGAAGAAGAGGAAGTCTGTAATTTCTGTTCCTCAAAAGGCATTGCTCAACCTCACTTATGTACTTCTTCGGCCTAACAGCAGAAGAACAGAAGCCAGCGCTATTTAATTTTGTTGATACTTGTGTCTAGCAAATATTTTTTTTAAAAAACTACTTTTATTTTATGACAGTGAAGTTTTTTTGTAATGCTATTTGCCTGTTTTCTTTTTAGTTATCCGGCATCGCTGAGCAAAAAAGATCTCAACACCAAATTAGAGTAGAGTGGAGACCTCAATAAAGCTGTGTTGAAATGGGGCATTTCAAGCTCTGATTGTCAAATTAAGCTTCAGGTATAGAAGTCAGCTTTGATTGGAAAGCAAAAACATGTTTGGAGGTTGTCTTATTGTCAGGAAAGAATGTCTGAAAAACTGAGGCTTTTAATGTATTTCCTATTTTTCATGTACTGAAGAGCTTTAGTACGTTTTCTTTGGGCTGATGCCAGTACATCAGGATCAGGAAGTATATAGTGTTATACAGCATGAAACACTATCCAGGGACATTTCTAGAGTGGGTCCAAATAGTAGTTGTTGTTCAGCAGTTAAAATTGTATAAATGATAGTGATGAGTGATGAGGTCAATCAACTCAGTAGTCTTGTGTTTGTCAGTAAGGTAAAGGACGCATACTTGTGATGATCTAAAAGTTTGCATCCAGAGTAGCTGAAAACATTTTAAAATATTACACCCATACTTTTCTAATGCAGATTCAACTCGATGTTCACGTGTTGGAGATTGCACTCTGCTGCATTATGTTGAGAATATAGCTTGTTTTGAGGCTACTAGCTTCTCTATATTTACATATTTAATTTCATTGAGTTTCCAGGCTATGCTTTAATTATGTCATGTTATCTTGGCTCAAAATTGGCAGCAGTTTTTTGTATGTGTTAAGGATAGCAGTCTTCAAAAGTGCTTTCGTAACAGTGTATAACTTGCTGATAACTTGCTGATGGGCTTTTTTGTCCTTAATAACTTGAGCTGCACGAGCAGAAACATTTTTCTGCTCAAAGCAGGAAATTGAACAAAATATTAATTACTTGCCACTTGGGGCCTGATAGATTTATTTCAACATACTTGTAATTTTGTGCTTCATTGTCAAGAGAAAATTGGTCGTATTGTGAGAATCCAGAGTTTCCTTCCCAGTCACTCAGCTGGATCCTTAATTTGTAGGACTGTTGATTTGACAGTCTGGAGACAAATTCATTTCCTAACCAGAATTCTCCAGAAGGTTCTCCGAATCCCTGAAAGTACACAAAAGAAAAGTTATAAAACTGTGTGAAAGTCCTGCAGTCATTGCTTTTCAGTTTAACAAGGACACCAATGGGAGATCAGAATGTGCTACATTTTTGACTATAACATTAAAAGTAATTTTTCCTCTGAATATAAAATTTTTAATCTGTTTACAAAATCCAATTTAAGAAAAAATCACAAATATTCACTTTTACAATAAGAAGTTAATGAAAAACCCATGTCAGTTTTAACTACGCTTGCATTCATAGTGTCAGCCCAGTTGTATCCTACTTGTCGTTGTACAATTTCAGGGGCATTGGCTGTAATAACAGTGGAATTGAATATGATACTTAATGACAAAGAGCGAAAAATATGTATAGCCTCTTTCTAAAATGTGAGGGGGTAAATGCTACTATTATTTTCCTGAACAGAAGATGGGCATTGCTTCTCTGTGTTAGTGGTTACGGTTTGTTCCTTCTTTGAATTACCTCAGAGGAGACAATCTCCAGCTCCTTAAAATATAGTCAATGGCCCAAACCAAATCTGACCACTGTTGGGCTGTTTGATTTGGAATGGAGGCCGTAACCTGGGTAATATTATTTTTAAGGGAAGAATTTCTTCCTCGAAGCTTTTACCTTTTTGTACTCTTGCCACGTACGGTGAAAGTCAACACGGCCGTCAAAGCGTTTTTGTATAACAGTCCAGCCACCTCCTTCTGTCTCCATGTCACAGAAAGCCTACAGACACAATGAAAAAAAGAGGAGTGAATATTTATTCAAATATAATCCTCTGTAAACAGTGCATACTTATTTATATTTTGACCTAGATAAAATAAATGTGTTCTAGGTTTCAGAAGTGCAGTCAGAAGTTTTAAAAAGTATCTAAGGAGATCACAGTTGTAGCTCAAGCATGCGCATTGCTGATAAAAGTCAATGAACATTTTAAGCTAACCTCGCTGCCCTTTTTAAAAGACAAAACTGAATTTCTCCTAAAGCAGCATGCTCTGTTTTATTAACTGATAGGTCAGATCATGCCTGTGTGAATGTTTATGTACATTTTGAAGATTTTCAGTATGTGCTGGCACTGATACATGTGTGACGTACGAGTGAGTGATTTTTAATGATCTAAAAAAGTGTGCCTTACCCATTTACGGCTCAGTCACACGAGAGTAAAAATAGGATGGCAACATCCTTGTCACTAGTAAGGCAACTTGTGTCCAAACAGTCATGGTCCAATTGGGACTAACTTCACTCTCCAACAGATTAGCGAAGGTTTGCAAATAATTGCTGCTTAATTTATAAATGTGTATGGATTGCCAACATATTTCAATCAGTCTGCATCAATGAGCACAATTAATCTGCAACAGGGGACTCAACTGGTTGCATTAATTTCTGTTTCCAGTCTACTTGAATTGCTTTTTAATGCTTTTGCTGTGTACGTAGATGGCACCAAATTTAAGAGTTTTGTGGATTTTTCACTGTTAACTGCTGTATTGTCACAGATTGCATATAATCATCAACTTGCTGTTCAGTCACAAACTAATAGCAGACCGTCTTTGTCTTATTTCTGTTTTACCGCAATCTTGAGGCTCCAAAGTTGTTTTAAAGACACATTGATTGCGAGTGTTTGCAGATTTTGCCCTCATCTTCAAAGCAACCGTTTCAAAGGGAACAAGTTTAATGGGCATGGTTGCAGTCATTTTGTTTGTCCCATACCCACCAACCACTGTTTTTTCTAGTATGACTGTAGCATGATAATGTAGCATAAAACCAGCTGAAAACAGTCAGTCAGGCCTACTTTACCTTAACCTCCATTGTACTGTTGGGTAATGTTAGCGTGTAGACACCACTGTTGGTATTTCCTGATTTGTAGACGGCAGCACAGTCCATGAATGTAGTAGGTGTGTCCCGCATCATGACAGTTTTAGGACCTGTAGAAGAAATAAACTTTTTTATTGTAAACAACTCACAGCTGTATAGCATTTAGCTGTCAGGTTGTGCTAAGCTAATATGTTTGGATTATGATAAAAGTTCTGCATGTTTCTTTAGTCTCAAAACTTAAAGTTTAAAAGACTTAAGCTGATGGGAAACAGCTGGCCTAGGTAGTATAAAATCAAACGAAATAGCAACAGCTTGTAGCTTCATCTTAACTGATTTAATGCTATTGGTCTCGACTTTTACTTTTACGTCAAGCTGTCTCAGCCTACATGTAAGGTCTACGGTCGGACCCCTTAGCAAATGTAGGCTGACATAAATGCTACTTAAAAGACCCCCTACTTGATCTTTCATTTTAAAAGAGGTTACAATGGCCTGATGAGGGGCTGCCTCACCTCGAGCGGTGCCAGAAGCGATGTTAGAAATGAGGTTGTTCACAGTGTCCAGTAGCTCCTGCTGCTGATACTGCAGGGCTGTGTTGTTGGTTGAGACTTTGAGCAGTTGCTGCTCCAGCTCACCGATGATAGCCGTCTGCTTCAGTATCAGAGTCTGGAGCTGCTCCTTTTCTTCTTGAAGCGTCTTCATCTCCACCTGCCTCTGCTCCTCCATCTCTTTTACTTTCTTCTCTAGAAAACTGAGGAGAAGCATGCAGGTTCAGCAGGTAGCTTCTTCATTGCCTAAATGCTGCTGCTAGTGAATTTGAAAATTTAAAATTTTTCCCATTTTGTTTGCTTTCCTCACCTGTTCTTGTCATTCAGTTTGTTGATGTCGTTTGTTTGGACAATTAGTTGCTTTTCCAATTTGTTGGTTGACAAAGAGTTTTCAAGAAGCTGGCGCTCAATCCGAGTTGTATGATGAATAACCTAAAATTAAAAGAACGAAATGAAGCACAGTGTCTTAGCCATATCTCATTATAGGTCATCCATTGATTCTGTAGACTTGAGACTTGGGATTGTGCTGTAAATGTTTTGTACTGTCTTTATGTCAATTGGTTGCCAATATCCTAAGAATTGGATGGACCCAAATGAAACACTCTTTTACTTTGGATATAATGAAATTAAATATTATTGTGCTTTCAGGTTTAATACGACAGCCAATCTCCTGGAAATAAAAACCTTTAAACATGTAAATAAGTCCTAAATTTAATAAGAGTCAGAGATATCAGTCAAGAGCCAATCTGGACATGAATCTTTGTATTTCGTCACGTTGATCAAGTTAAACTGGGTTTGCGCCTGCAGAGTGAACAAATAACCATTTTAAAATGGAAAAAAACATGACAGGAAAGAACAGCCAAGTTCCAATACAGCAGACATACCTGAACAAGGGGAAACTGAGAATCCACGTATTTTCACAAACCTACGTATTGAACTGCACATGGGGTTGGGGACCTTGCCACCAATTTCCCAGTTCGGAGGAACTGAACTCAGCAAAAAGCAGCTTGTTTACATGGATCCTAGCTGTGTGTCTCCAATGGAGCTGTTGATGTCTTTGAACAGACGGATGTCTGATTGTGACAAACTGATAGACCCTTTCTCTGGGAATACAAGTGTGCTAATAACAGGAAATGCTGTACAGTTGGCTCACATAAGGTCATTGACGTGTAGCCACAATAATAAACTGACGCCATCATGCCTGTTTTTCTCTCTGCTTAATTTTTTTTAACACTTGCAAACGATAATATTTATTGCAGCGTGTCACTGAGTAGGCTGTTATTTCTGCTTTTGAGGAATAAACAAAATGTGCAGTTTCACCTGTGCCTCCACGTTGGTCAGTTTCCTTGTTTGCTCAGCAGTTTGACTTAGCAGGTTTGTCCCGATTTCAATCATTGTAGCGGTGTGGTTGTGTACAGCAGTCTGTTGGATTTGGATCATGTCCTGCTTCATGCTGTCCTGTATGTAGCTCTCAAGCTGCAAAAGAGAACGATGATAATTAGGTTTAGACAGTTTTTGTGAGCTACCGATTCTCTTCATCACCTGGTCATTTTGTTGTATATAATCCTGTATATTAGGGTTAATACAGAGGTCTACATATTGACATTAGTATGGGACACAGAGATTCTGTTTCTCATTGGTTGTGGACAAGCAAGAAATCAGGAGTTAAGTAAAATGTTTCTCATGAGCTAAAGCTACTTTCAGGTACTCGCTTATTCACAAGAGGTCACCACAGCAGGCAGCTCCCTTCCTAACGCAACCCCCAAAGGGATTTGTGTCTGTTTCTGGGATTTAACGGGCGCTAACCTGACGCTTGTTTTGTGAATATGTGAGCCATTACACCTGCTTCCCTAAAACTCTATGGACTCTGATGATATATATTTTATATATTTCGTGGCTCAAGAGTTGGGAGTTCGCCTTGTAATCGGAAGGTTGCCGGTTCGAGCCCCGGCTTGGACAGTCTCGGTCGTTGTGTCCTTGGGCAAGACACTTCACCCGTTGCCTACTGGTGGTGGTCAGAGGGCCCGGTGGCGCCAGTGTCCGGCAGCCTCGCCTCTGTCAGTGCGCCCCAGGGTGGCTGTGGCTACAATGTAGCTTGCCATCACCAGTGTGTGAATGTGTGTGTGAATGGGTGGATGACAGGTTGTGTAAAGCGCTTTGGGGTCCTTAGGGACTAGAAAAGCGCTATACAAATACAGGCCATTTACCATATTTTTTATAATCTGTAACCCTAATAAATGTAAGTGCTCTGTGTATTTCATTAGTAATGTGGATGATAATGTAAATGTCGGAAATAGGACGATAATACAGTGAAAACATGCACCAAGATTGATTTTTAAGATGGGACCACGGGGATAGAAATTTACAAAGGTTGCCCATCATGAGGCCTTTTCACTAAAAACCTGTCTCGTTTCAGTGTCAAACATTACGTAACCTTGCCCGTGTCAAACTTGTTAATGATTTAGGGATTTGTTCTCGTCTACCTTACTGTATTGCCAGATTTAGACGCAGACTAATCATTAAGTTATTTCCTGCATGGTGTTCCTGAGTGGCAATCAGGTCACACGACTCGTAAACAGGATGGAAGTGCTGAGTGAGAAGTTACATCCTTCATGACAGTGTGCAACTTGTGTGCAACTGGAAACCAGCGTCAGTTGAATATCGATGTTATCTCCTCTTAGTTTGCATAATCACTGTTGTTATTTATTCATCAGTCAGAAATGCAACGGCAGACATTTTATTTGACTACTAATACTTATGCTAAAACAACCAAAGGCTGCAATTAGTGCTGATTTTGTTTGTCTTCCTCTCTTGCTGTCTAGTTTGTTTATGTTCTCGGATTCACGCAGATATGTGGAAGGGTGTCATTTGAATTGTTGGCAGGATGTCCCATTGATAGTCAATGATCTAATCAGTTGTTTGCTCTGTGTGCCTCAGAGGCATCAGTGAGGGAATGACTGTGTTCCTCAGTCATGTGACAGACATTTTTTCTCCAGCTGTCATCAGTTGGTGCGGCATGAATAGTACTTTCATTAATGAAATGAGTACACTCTAATAATAAAGCACAACAAACCTACTGATTTGCAACTTTTTCTTTTCTAATGTGCAACTTTATTTAAAGACCCCCAGTATGCTTATTTGACTGCTGTGAAGTCCTCTGCATAGATGGAATTGCTTGTTTTTTCAGATTATTTTCTTTTCGTCTAATCTCTTCCATCCATCCACCAAACCATTGATGGATGGAGGTGATGATGAGATTTATAACCTCAGTGAGGCAAGGCTGTGAGGCATTCATTCAAACATGAAGCAGGCAATATTTCAATTCACCTTAGCTGCTTATTGTTTTTTAGGGTTACATGACATACATTTTTCTCAGTGGAGCTTTTAATGAAGAGTTAAAATAGAGTTTGAGCGCTCTGGAAAGCTGTGCCTGAACACGCTTACACCTGCTGGAGTAGATGATCCTGAGTATCTTTTGCTGTTCTGATGTTGAACAAATATGTCTCTCTTACTTTATTGGCGATGACGGTGTTCACCTCACTTTTAATACACACAACAAATTTCTGCTTAAAATGACTAAAAGGTCTCCCTACAGCTATTGGGTAGCAAAGTCATTGTCACAGTCAGCACAGTTTCCAAATGACACTTCAGTGTCATCAACTGCTGTGAGTTTTCATTATGGCAGAATTAAGAAATACATTGGTTTGTTTTGTATATTAGTATATGCCTTAATACTTAATATGACATAGTGCAGCTTTTTCACACCTGAGTTGTGAGTTCTTCTCCCTAAAGTGTTAATTTGAGGCAGACATGTAACAGATGAAGATAAGGGGAGTCGTCTTCTGTGCGCAGAGACTGATGTGAAACAGATGAAGTGCGCTGCTCCAAGTAAAACCACATTTTTAGTGCCACATACTTAATTGGCAATCTTCTTTAGTCTGTAAGAAATGTCTGGGCGATCAGTACGTTAGACGTGGCTTTGGATAAATGTTCGTTTGTATTGTGAACAGGCTGTGATTTCTGAGGCAGCGCTTGAGTCTTTGTGTGAGTATAGTGCCATGTAACGGATCAGGGTTTGTTTTATGTTACGAGACGGGGATCGTGTCATCAAACTGTGAGATGCTTTTTGTGTTTCTGGCTCGTCTTGTTTCGTTCTGATCATTAATCACACTCAGTAAAGGCCCAGGAAAAGAAACGTCTCGCTTCTTTTGCTTGGACATGTAATGGCTCAGTAAACTGAAAGGAAAGTGTGCATCCACTCGTGTGGACACCTGCGCCTGCAAGTCTTTGTCAGTCCGGGTTGAATAAAGGTGTCTCACAGACACTGAGCACATTTTTTTGTGTCAATTTCAAATGTCATTAAATCAAAATAGATTCTCAAAGAGCCTTTCATCCATTCATCCATCCATTTTCCCAACCACTTATCCAACTTAAGGACGTGGGAGAGCTTTCAGAAGAGTCTTTCAGTCTTACAAAAACAAGTTTTGTTCTTTCTTTTTTGTTGAATATGTGGTTGTTGGTGCTGTGATTTCTTTTAACTGCTTCTATGTAACTACACAGTGAGAGAGAAAAAACTGTTCTTGTTTTAATTTGGTCAAAACTTTCTCATATCAGAGAGCTAGTGGTCCGACACAATGAGCCATTCACCACGTGAAATGTGCAAGTTTCACATAATCATCTGTTCCACCCATAAAAGTATATTTGATACTTGCACGTAAGTGTAGAGGCAATATGGTGAGAGAATAATTTACTAGTCTTTGCCCACGTTGGGACAAAAGATCGGCATGAAAGTATCTCCACTTTGACACCCCTGTGGTGACTCCTTCAGCTCTTCACCACATTTTGTCCTCTTTCACATCATTGCAGTTTTTGGTACCTACGGAGGCTTCTTGTCATTACTCTTAACTTACTGCGATACAGTTTAACCACTGCGTTTAAATTTCTTTCACTGATGTCAAGGGTGTGACACAATTTTACCTTAAGCAGCCACTGCGTGTTGTTCTCCATGCTGATCTCCAGTTGTTCTAGCCTCTGAATTGACTCGTTGTCCGTAGGTCCGTCCTTCTGGACAGGATAGTTGTAGTTGTTATACTGAGTTTGGCAGTTATCCTGCTCAGGCAGCAGAAACGTATAGCTGCAAGGGCCATTTTGGATTTGATATTGTGTTTTCTCAGCAGCACTGAATCCAGTTCCCAGACCAAGGCACAAGCTTAAAACTAGTAGGTCCACATTCAGCATCTTCATTGTAGATCGAGTTATGTTAAACTTACAAATAAACCCCCTTGGATTTTCAAGGTTTCTTTAATCTTATCTCTATCTGATTAGATATCTTCTTCCAGCAGCATCCAAGTGTAAACAGCTCTCTTGAGTTTCTGCAGGTTCCTTTTATTACCTCTCAGTGGTAGGAGGAGAAAAAGCCATCAGGAATGAGAGGTAGTGTGTCCTAAGGTTGATGGTGCCAGACTGCATGTGCTCGCCTTTCATTAGACCCCTGACCACTTGCTATAGTGCTTTAAACTGTGAGTTTAAACCACACCCCCTTGCCTGTGGCCAGTCAGTGTGAAGAGCACTGAAGTGGAGATTCCTTTCAGTACACGCTCGCTGAGCAACACACAGGAGCAGATGCACAAACGACACATCTTCTACTATATCCTCCACAATACCCACATGTTTTTTTTGCTTTAGTTGAACAACTACTCAGGATGCAGCTGTCCACCTTCAGCACACTCTTTGATAGTAGCAGCGTCCATCCCATTCATTGAAAAATGTTTCCCGGTTTACAGCAAGCGCCCTGAATAGGAGATTCAAAGGAAGAAGTGTCCATTTCAACTTTATTATTAACCATTTCCTGTTTTGTACATATAAGCAGCACCTACATTAAATACACTGTCCTCTTTTTTTTAATAAAATTGGTTTATTTGATGAGCTCAAAATTTCTTAAAACTCTAAATAGATTTTCATTTCATGTCATTTATTATTTCCCAGTGGTTCAGAGTGGCCGTTTTATGACCTCCAATTAGAAAAACAAGATGGTTTTTTTTCATTTGCATCTACTTCAGAGTTTAAATGACATTAGCAGAACCATGATTCACAAGTATAATGAAGCATTAGATGCTTTTACCCTTGAAGACCAAAAAAGTCACAGGAAAGCTCATTGTTTTTTCCTTCTTACAAAAAAGAATCCATTTTTACAAAGCAGGTTTTTCTGTTAGGTTGGGAGTTTTAATCTCAGCAAGTTGTGGGTGTTTTCTGTAGCCTAGCCCATTGTTGTTTACACAAGCCCAAAATAGCCCAACAAAACATGGTCCCACACTCTTACACACAGCAAAGTGCAATTTTTTAAAATTTATTTATTTATTCTCATTTATTTATTTTACAGACTGAATGTGCTTGAAGCCTTCTAAAAGGTGTTGTGATTTTCCAGGATGTTCTGATAGTAATTAGGAGTAATGGAATATTTCCAGAAACTGTGGTGAACAACACGCCTAAAATGCATGCATTAGCGATTTGTTTTTCTGTGGCTTAAATAATGTTTTGCAGCAGAGAGCAAAACCTTATTGTGAAAACTAATGGTTACGTTTGATAGAAAATTAGGGAACTGGCTTCCAGCAGCATGTAATGATACAAGCACGTGCATCCATTTATTTTTATAATAACTATTCTGCAACACACAGAGTGCATACTGTGGGGTCTTTTTGTCCAATTGGAGCACTATCTTGACATGACAAAGTTGTTGTAGGGCTCTGTGACATCAGAAAACTAACCACATGTGTGATGTGTAGTCTAAGCACATTTTAGTGGCACCTAGAGGGGTCTTCTCGATGTCAAAATGACAAAAAACTGAATCGGACTAAACTTGCAACACACGAACATGCACAATTTTAATGTTTTATATAACACACTGGACTCAAAGTGCAGGCTGAAAAAACAAGGTAAACTAGTTCAGTAACTCAGAACCTCCTTTAGCTGCAGCAGCCTCCATCAAATGTTTCCTGCACCACAAGTAGGAGGAATGTTGAACCATCACTCCTACAAGACTGTTTTAGGTCATCATTATTTCTGGGATGATTTGCTTGAACATTTAATTTCACTGAGTTGCTCATTCGACAACATCTCAGTTCAGTTTTCCTAAACACTGCTTCTCATTGTTTTCAACCTCTGGGTCATTTTCTCATTGCACCGTCCAGCCTCTACAAAGCAGCAGGTCATGTAGCTCTCCCCTTACATTTTCTTGTGAAAACTTGTGGAGCGATGAATACATTGGTCTTTCAAAATGCTTTTGTAGATGTTTGCCATCGTTGAGCATCACTGTTCTCATATGGTTTTGTCAAAGATGTTGCAATTGAGGCATGGTGCATACCAGCCAATATTTCTTGAGAAGAGCAGATTGATAATTGTAGATTTACATGAATAGTACAGCTGTTAAATATTTATTTGATCCAGTTTGATTTGTTTAGATGACGTTCAGACCACATTTATGAGCACTCGACTTTCACAAACCTTTTCATGGGACAGTACAAATACCAAAACAGAATTGTAGGAAGTAGCCTGATGTAATAGTTATGGTATAAAGGAAATGTTACACATTTTAAGCACATTACCAAAGAGGAAGGACATGCAGTCATTGCAAAAATATTGACTTTTTCAGGTGTTCAGGCTGAATCACCCACGCAGTAGATTGATCTGCATCACTTTCAGTATTTCAGTTTATTTTACCGTCATTGAAAACTAAGGGAAGGGCAGGAACATCAACAGTGATTCAGTTAAACATACATCCAGTCCAGGGACCATTCATTAATTGAATTTATTACTGCTCCATTTATACAGCTTCCTTAACATATGTAAAGTCTGCTGAGCTGTCGAGAACACAAAGTGTTTGATTATACAAGGATGCTAATTTATTCATCCTGGTTACAGCGCTGCTCATGCTGTCTGTTTGCCTCCACTGCCCTCTCTGGATTCTCACTTTACAAAAAAAAATGTAAAATTTGAATAAATAAAAGGTAATAAAATGCAGCTCATCCATTGTGTTACAATTTTGTACATTTTTGGCATCAGTACCATTTTGTTGGGGTGAAAAAGGTTCTTGCTTCCACAGCCCAAATGCATGCTTATTAGTTTGAACGTGTTTGAATGTGAGCTATATAAAACAATTCAAGTCCATAGAATAAAATGTTGTATGAATATATGTGAAAAAGGGGGGATCTGGTTAGTCGTAGCTTACTGTAGAAACTCCTCATCATTGTCTGCTTTGTTTCACTGGAGTCAGAAGCACAAATCAAAAACCTTACCTGATTTAACTTGACCTTATTTCCCCTTCAAGGTTGCCTCCTGCACCTCTAGACAGCACAGCTTCTCTTTATGTCAGACTCAATTCACGGGACTTTATCAACTTCCCAAAAATGAAAGTCAAGGATTATCTTTTAATACACTGGAACAGATCCAACGTGCATCACAAACGCACAAATTCAGGGGGGCAGAACAAAAGTTCTAGGCATTAATATAAAAACAACAACCACACCGATAGAGGATCTCGACGTGTCGGAGAACCAGACCTAGAAAGTGAGATTGGCTAAATTTAAAAAAGATTTTGGACTTTCATGGGTTACGTTTATTGATTACATTTCATATGCGATTGCGCTGTTTATAAATTAACTCAAGCATTTTTTTCCACATTATGTTAAAATAAAAAAAGGTTTTAGCATATATGCTGATACTGATGCAGTGGGCTTTAGCTCGTCTCTACCCTTAAAAATTGGTATTAATGTTCGACATTAATAAGATACAAACAGAATTGTGAGGTATGATAAATCTATCTGCAACTACTTTGAGAGTAGATGGTCTCTGTTTCTCGTTTGTGTCACACTTTTCACTGTTTCTCTACAGCTCCGACAACAGCTGCACAGTGTTTGTAGAGAAGTCTGTCACTTCCACGCAACCTCACCAATATTCTAGAGACCAGAGCAATAACAAGGATGTTTTTGCCCACAGTATGGGGAATACACATTTTCCTTCATGACCAATGATCATGGACCAATCTAAGCCTTTGACTGGGGACTTATTTGCTTATTTGCTCCTACATTGTCACCGTGATTGTCATTCGTCATAAATGGCAGGCGAAATAATTGATAGACAAACTTCTTCTTGTATGTGTGCTTCTGTTTTTCCTCCCATATTATAGCTCAGATAAAGTCTTTTTCTTTTTTGTGGGTTTTATTTTTTGTGATGCTATTTCCTGAACTCTTTCCTCAACAGTGTCTGATTTTGTGAATAAAGCCTTAAAGCCTTGAAGTCTGTTTTTTGCAGGTATTTGACTTGGTATAGAGCCGTTTGCCCCTTCAGTTTATCAGCTGAACCCTGCTGCGTACTGTACAGAACTGTCGTGAGAATTTAGAGCATCAGTTACCAAACTTGAAAAGAAAGACCCTCCAAGAAAATCACAGCTTCAGTCAGGCAAAGAGCTTCAAATAAGTCTGAGAACAAGGTGAGCTTAAAAAAATGAAACAAGGCACAGAGGTTGGGATTGTAGTTCAACTTGTTCTTACCTGAGTTTATGTGATTCTAATCCGATTAGAGTTACTTGGATGTATCAGAGTTTGATCAGAATTTATCAATTTTCTACTGCAATAAACTGTATTTGAGTGAGGTTTAGCATTTAGCTGTGGGTTGCAAATGTCTGCTGTTGCTGTCTAAATTGGTCTCATATGATGCAGTGATTGTGCGTTGGTTTAGGCCGTGAGGGTGTGTGCCTCCCAGCCAAACTGCTGCTTTATCTCCAGCAGCCACCTTCAGGCTATTTTCAGTACTTCAGTGCTGAAACTGGCTTGAAGGAATCAGATTTGTGATTCTGATGAATGCAAATTCGATTTTTGAGGGTCAAAGTGGACACTTTAATTTGCTCCACAGATGAATAACATTTTTGAATTTGACTTGAATTTATTCATCGGCGGCAGCACACATTAGTATCATGTAAAAGCGGTTTCAGGGAAGAGTGCTCTATTTGCCTCTTTTAGTGCCGTGCAGGTTGACAGCACTGATCTTTAAAAGGGAGAGAATTGTTTTCATGTTTATCAGAGAAAGAAAAGCTGTGACTCATATTTATCAAGTTTCCATTTGAAATCTTGGTAGAACTACAAGGGACAAAGGTTTCCTGAAAATCCGAACACAATGAATTCTGGGAAGTGTGCCAAAAAACCTAACAATGTTTGATGGATTAGTGAGCAGTCATCGGGAGATTAAATTGACTCATAATTCCTTGTAAAGTCACACAATATGAGTTCATGATTATTCTGTGTTTGTCTCTGCTTGGCCATCGTGGAGCGATTGTGGTGGTGTTTTTGCTTGTGTCCCCTTTTCATGACTGTGTGGGCATGTACAGTTTATACTGTACTAAACCGACAGCTCACTTCCTCACAGACCTTTTTTCCCCCGCAGATGGCATTTTGACACGTCACAGTCGATAAATCTCAGGACTAAATAA